TGCTTCACTTTCTTACTTTTGGTCTGTGTGCGCTTGTGTTTGTGTGTGTGAGTAGATTTTGGCATGACCAGAGACATCTATGAGACAGATTACTACCGCAAAGGTGGTAAAGGTTTGCTCCCCGTACGTTGGATGTCACCCGAGTCCCTGAAAGACGGAGTCTTTACCACCAACTCGGATGTCTGGTAAGCAGACGCATGAAAACACACATGGTGACTTCATTCTGTGTGTATACCGCTTCCAAAAATATGTCATCATTGTCATAAAGATAATGGAAAACACACTTTTTTGCCCCCCTCCCCATTTCCCTCTATACAGGTCATTTGGGGTTGTGCTGTGGGAGATTGCCACTCTGGCAGAACAGCCCTACCAAGGTCTCTCTAATGAACAAGTTCTCCGTTTTGTCATGGAGGGGGGGCTTCTGGAGAAACCTCAGAACTGTCCCGATATGCTGTAAGACACACAAACTCCACACAGCACATTCACATAAAATGCTCTCATGTCTGTTTTCCTCTTCTCCGCTGGTTAATTTTAATTATCCACTCAGTGAAGCGGCACTGCTGCCCTTCAGCCTGTGGTCTCTGGATTTGCTGAGCTGCAGTACTGATTGCCTTCACAGCCCATCTATATTTCAGTGTGTGAACTTGTATTCTTTAAGATGTGTTTCTTCTTAATGTGAAACAGCCACAGTATAAATCCACATCAAAAGAGTCATGAGTGTCACAGACAAATTTGGCAACCAACTAGAAAACACTGAAGGATGCATCAGATGGTGAAGTCATGCGGAGAACAAATGTGAAGTCCCAGGGTTTGCTCTCTTCCCTAACAGCAACAAATTTATAAATAATATTATTCATTAGCATATCTAGAAAATACAGTCTTACTAGTGCACTTCCTTTGTTAATAATAATATGTTGTGTCCTAATTGTTTGGTTTGCAGCAGACCTCATCTCTTGCTTTATAAAATAAAAATCAGCCCCAGTTTGACATCCTGGAGCTGCCACTTCTGAAAAAAAACACTTCTAGGTGCATTACTGCCCCCTTCTGGTTGTAGTAGCATGTTTGATACTACCAGGTACCAGTAAACACAAGAGAAAACGGTGATTCTAAGAAGATAAATATTGGTGTAAATTATTATTATAATTTTTTTTAAGTGACCATTTTAGAAATAGCGGAATCCACCTTACAGCAACTCTAAAACAAGTTAAGATGCTTCTTTAATCCACTCAAACTGCAGTGTAAGTTTGATAAGTTATGACTGCTTGAGTCATAAATTGTTTGTCAGAATCAGGTTGGCTGCAGAGCTCTCTGTGCTGGATGCATGTGAAGGCAGCATCAGCTCAGCAGTTCATAAACAAGAAGCGAGTGCACGAGGGTCATACAGCCATTTTAGCAACAGAAAGCAAACATTTGGCAAAAGTAAATATTGGTTTGTTGGTAGGAAAGTACAGTTCCTCTGGATAGGGTCATTACTGCAGGAGGACATGTTGTTGCTGAATACTCACCTGACCTATTTGTGTGTGTATGTGTGTGTTTGCAGGTTTGAGCTGATGCGAATGTGTTGGCAGTACAATCCTAAGATGCGTCCATCCTTTGTTGAGATCATCAGCAGCATAAAGGATGAGCTGGACCCGTGTTTCAGGGATGTCAGTTTCTTCTACAGCGCCGATAACAAGCCCCCCGATGCGCCGCAGCTCCACCTGGAAAAGCTAGACAACATGGAAGATGTTCCTCTGGACGCTCCGTCATCGACACAACTGCAGCAGACTCCAGCTCCCCAACAGACGCCCCCTTCCCCGAGCTCAGAAGCACCACCTGGCCCATCGCTAGCTCCCAGCTCACCTTCCTCTCCCTGCACGTCGAGAGCTGCCATGGACAAGCACCCCTCCGGCCAGCAAGCAGCTAATGGGCTGTCGGGGGCGGGGCACGCAGCGGGGGCGGGGCTCGGGACAGGCTCGAGCGTCGCAATGCGGCCGTCTCTGGACGATCTGCCACCATACGCGCACATGAATGGAGGACGCAAAAATGAGCGTGCCATGCCTCTCCCGCAGTCCTCTGCCTGCTGATTGGACAACCCACCAGACTGCAAACCTTCCATCTGCTGGACATCTCAGTGGATGGAATAAAAAAAAATTTGTTGTTGTTGTTTTGGGGAATTTTTTTTGTTTGTTTTTTTAAATCAAATACAGCAAAGCGCGTGGTCCACCAGCTGGATGTGACCATTCAGTGAGACTCACAGGAAGACGGAGCAAACATGTTCTTCTTTTTCTTTTTTTCCTTTTCATAAAGTTTTGGTTTCTACCAGCTGGCTGTCCAACGTGACACTGCCCTCGAGTGGGAAGATCAAAAACACTACAAATAAGAAAAATATCAATAATTTGGGAGATCTCTTTCTCTCTCTTTATGGCTGAACTTATTTTATAATCCATCATTTGTTACTTTTTTATATGTATTTACAAATGGGAGAAGAAAAATCTATAGGCCTTTATATAAAACGAGCGGCGTTTTGTTTGCTTTTGAACGGGCATTATGGTGAAAACGTTAAGCATATCTAATGACGAAGAAACTCTTAAGAGTGACTGGCATGTCTCGTCGGTCGTTCAGTAGTGTGGTTGCTCTGCAGGCTGGGTGTCAGCGTAATGCCGGATCAACAGCCAACTCGCTGAAACAAACAACCAGAGGGGGAAAGGTCAACTCTGCCAAATTGATTGCCAAATTTATACTGTTTGTCAGATTCTCTCTTCTGCAGTTTTGCCCTGTAATTCTCCAACCCACTCCATTGAAAATTAAAGCAAAACAAATCTGCTACTGCACTATTTTGAAATAAAAGGGATATTACCTTCCCTCTACAGTGCTACACTACAGCAAATCTGACATTATAGACTGAAATTATCTGAAATTGAGCCACATCTTTTCACAAAGTGCTGTACCATTACGGTTAAACCGCCAAATACAGTCCATAAAGAAGCAAAAAAAAAAAATTAAAAAAACAAACAAACTCAAAGCGAGGACTGCGGATGGAAAAAGTGTAAATGGGAAAAACAAACATAAACACGAGTTGTACAACGTCTCTCAGTCGGGGTTCTCCGAGTTCAGAGGCGTCTTTGTTGTTGTATTCGAACAGGTATTTTTTTAGGCTAGTCATCGGTCTCCAACATTTACAACATCTCTCTGTGGGCAGAGCATTTATGTACACACCAGTTGTTTGTGTCACTTTTCTAACTTTTCTACAGTTGGAGACATTCATCGTGTACAGAAAGAAGCTGCTATTCCTTATTTCTCTTTGTGGTTGTAATATAGTCAATATCTATATATTAAAAAGAGAAAAAAAAAACTCCTTCAGGTTGGATCTACGAACGTTTCAACTACAGTCCATTTTTTTAATGCTTGTAACTGTGTAAAGTGTATCTGAGCTGGTTTCGTTTCTGTGTTTGCGTATAAGGTACGACTATTTGCCTTGTGTTTTGAAACACTTCCCCTCCCATCTAATTAGGGGACAGCGATGGGGGGGCGGCGACCATCGGTGTTCTTGTGCTCTCTCGGGACCCTTTTGCATCAGTCCTCTATGGTTTGGACTAAACCGCTTCTACCCATCATTATCACTCTAAGAGGCCAGGTGTCCCAACTAAATCTCAGGTCAAAGAGGAAAGTTTAATCCTGTTCTACTTTCCCGTTTGTTTTCTTCTTCTTTTTTTCCTTGTTCTGTCAAACCCAGAGACATCCAGCCTGGTGTGTGTTAAACCTCGGTCTCATTCTTATTCTCTCTGACTGCGTTTCTTTTTTTAACAATACTCAAAAGCAGTGTTTTTACAACCGAATGGTTGTCAGGCTGCGTTTGATTTGACCTTTACACTTATGTACAGAAACCTAATACTGACAAAATGTAGAAGTGAGACATTTCAAAATGTAGCATTAAACACTGATAAACAATACTGTTAGTTAAATAATTCAGAAGGCATATTAAAGGAAAGAAATATGTAATTTATGATAATCTTCTATTATACCAGCTCATCAACTTAGTTTCCCCCTTTTTTTTTTTGGAGGGTTTTTGCACACTTGCTGTTTGTTTAGTGCCTTTTAGCCACCTAGCAGCAAGAATACACTAAAAGGGGGCACGCAGCGGGGTCAGGGCGAGCTAATCCTAGTTATCTACCTGAGCCACCTGGTTAACCCAAGCTAACTTATAATAAAACAAACTCCAGAGTAAAAAATAAGTTACTCACTTTAATTACTCCTTTATTTGTTACCAACTATACAGGCGATAAGTACAGTTTACATTTTTATCTGAAGCATTTTACCCAGCGAGAAAATATTAACACATTTTCTTGCTGGCTCATGCTAGTTATACCTTTTTTTCTGGTTTATTATGAAAGAAAAGTATTCATTAAATCATATGCTGCCATAATATGTCCTAATTCATGGTAAAAACAAGAGCCGAATATGAAGATAATTGTGTTTAAAAATGTGGTATTTGTACCAGAAATGGTCCTCATGCTAGTTTAGTTGGGGGAAAAAAGGTTAGCTGTAGCTAAGTGGCTAGCAGCTCTGTCAGATGATCCCCACACATGCATAAAAGTCCTGAAAAAGTAATTAATGACCAGATTAATCATTAAATGTGTGCCAAAACCCTCCCAAAATCTCGGGCAATAAAAGATAAAAAGATGTATAAAGTGTTCTTTTTAGTCCGCATTGTAATCATTTAGCTAACAGTATTATGTGAACTCACATTTCTTTTTTTCTGATACTGCATTTTGTCAGTTTCAGGGCTCTGTGTTAGTGCCGTGTGCAAACCTTAAGAGTACAATGCAAAACATAATTTATGTACTTCAGGCGAGTACAGAAACCTGTCTGTGGGATACTTTCACCTTCTTCTAATCAACTTCTGTCTCTTCATCAGGGGTGGCTTTCTTTAGGCTGCTAGAGTAACCCATAGTTATCTTTTTTCAACATATAAACGTGTGTTTGTAGAAGATTGGGCTGAGACATGGGTGAAAATTAATCTTATAGCATTGAGTTTTTTTTCCCCCTTTGGGAACATTAAGATGTCACAGGTGACACTAAAAGGATTTATAAAAGGAACAAGTATTGAGGCCATTCTCTTTGAGAATAAATCTTAATGGTATTCTTTATGAAGATTTACTGAAGAAAAACAATAATATATGATCAGAGTGGACCACATAGAAAGATTTTTAAAGGTTTATTTGCCTCTGAAAGCAGCATTTGTGTATCCCTTGCCCAAATGTTTCTTGGTTATTTATGTCCTTTTTGTGTGAAGTGTAAATCACTGTAAAAAAAAAAAAATCCCCCATTAGATATTTTTGTTTTCCTTCTGATATGTTGTCATTTTTTGTTTTTTTCTCTATTGTGGGGGAAGGTCTTGTTATTAATCCTTCAACCATTCATCTACCTCACTTTTTTTCTTTTTTTTTTCCAATCTATCTACATGTACAGAACAACAAAACATCTCACCTACAGTTGACTGGCTGTAATGACGATCTCACTGCATGCTGTCAATAACACGGTCAAATCCAAACCACAAACCAAACCATCCTGGAAACATGGTAAAAGTTCCAAGGGGAAAAACATGACCATCAAACAACTTGCTATTGAAGTTTGGCCCACGATGGCTTTTATTTGGGCTTTCTAAAGTCTGGAGGAGCTGCTACAAGCATACAAGAATGGAGAAAGGGCAGTTCTGTCCTTTGCACCTACTCTGCACATAATCCACCACCACATTGTAGGGTTACGAAGTAGCATGTAGAATTCCCCCCTTTTTATCTTTCATATTTTTCAGGTTATCCTATAATCAGGTGGATGAAGTTGTGACCTAAGGTAGCCACTATATGGCAAATCCACATATTCGCTTGGTAAAACACACACAATGCAAACTTTCTTTATGGTACTATAAATTACTAACGTTTAATATGAAAAAATATAATGAAGAGTACAACTTAAAAATGTTTTATGGGTGTATTAGGGCCACATTGAGAAATTACTATATATTTTTTCATTATGTTGCCCTAATATTTGTACAGTTCTGGATGCCATTATTGCTTGGAAAAACACTGTCGAGTGGGGTTTTCAAAAAGAGAAGTAGTAAATATAGCTGTAATGTAGTAGTAGTGCATGAAACTGGGTCTACCTGAAGGCCAAATTTGCACCTTTTAAATCCCACACATGACCTGTGCCATGATGGTTCCGACCTAGAAAGCCCACTGAAGATGTTAGACAATCATTCACTTTATTTTTCTGGTTTATAAAGACAATGCTGCTACTATATGCTGTTTTAAAACTTGTTTAAACACATAAGGATACATATATGCAGGACTGCAGGCTGACAACCACCAGTTTCACCATTTTCAGTGTGACAGTTTAAATCGGTGAAAGCCCTCACTGCCTTTTATTACACTTTGAAGCACCGCCGAGTCTAAAACGAGCTTTCTCTGGTGATTTCTTCTTCTAGCTGTGGACAGTATAGACCGGTTTTAGCAGGCACACATTTTATGACCTTTTTTTTTTCTGTCAATACTTGCAGCAGATATTTGGTACGTAGAAATGTTGATAAGTGAAGGTTGTGTGACTTCTGGATTTCACTATAACTATTACTTCATTTGAGGATTTTTTTTTTTCAACTTTTTTACTGCCATAACAGGACTTTAGAGTTGTTGCTTTTGCCTCTGGACCTGTTTCCACATCAATCAAATGCTCTCCCTCGTTTTTCTTTTCTTTTTTTAAACCCTTCTTCCTCTCCTGTCAGGGTCATAACTTCAAACTGGAGGTCTCGGTAAGCCCAGCTGCAGGAAACGAATCCATGTTGGGTGGTCAGGATGGGTATTTTGGAGTTTGTGGTCTGAATTTTGCCTCACTTTTACCACTGGAACACCTCACAGAGCCGACATAAAATCAAATTTCGATATTATTTTTTCTCTCCTTTTTTGTTACATTGATGGTCATTTTGTTACCTGTACTTTTGATTTGTGTAAATTATTCATAGCCTTCCAACTTTTTGCGTTTTTATTGAAATGATCTGTTAGACTGAGGTTTCATTTTGGTTTCTCTTTTGTACATGCTGTTGTAAGAATTTTTCCTGTTATCGATATATTCTGAGTTCTGGGAAAAATTATTGGCTGAAGGAAAAGAGAATGTCTGTTTCTCTGATTCTTTTTTTTT